TGTACTCCAGCTCTGGCTCCTCACCTGAGCAGCTCTGCTGCAGCTACAATGAAGATACAGGACAGTTTTTAGCCCAACTTTGGAAAAACCCAGCCAACTCCATCAGAGTTGGTTGCCTACAGGTTATTCAGCCATCTGTTAGGAAGAATAAAATCCTCCAATCAAATCCCAATAAAAAAATCCTAAAATCAAGCACTGCACTTAATAAGACAGTTATCTGCTGCTAACCCTGGCTGACTGCTCTCCACAGGGCATGAGTAGATGTGCCATCAGGAGGGAGGTGGGAAAGAACAAACTCCCTTAGTTCACACAAGTGCAGCAGAGCTCATTATGTGCCCTGCTGCCTATTGCTGCGAGAGGTTAGAAATGCTTCTTTATTTCCCCCTGCCCTAATGCACTTGCTGCCTTCCCCATTCTGTTTATTTTGTGCCACCAAAGCAGTGACAATCAGCCATGTGAAGCATTATTCCCTTATTCCCTAGCCTCCTTTCTGAGGTGAGCACAGTCCTGAAAACAGGAGCAACTTCCAGAAAAAAAAAAAAAAAATTACTGCCACATCAATTTCTATTCAAATCGCTTGGCACATTTCTCTAGTTCTTTTGCTGGAGACCAAGGTTCACTTCCAGCTCCCCAGCCTTCAATACCTCGGGACAGTGAGTGCTGGCACAAACTGAAACCTGGTGACCTTCCTTTGAGAATATTAAGTCTTGCTAGAGTTTCTCTGAGGTTAATCGATTCCACTCAGTCCTCTCTTGTGAAATCCTTGGAACAGGAAAAAATAAGGAGAGAAAAAGCCAAAGGAGATTTTCATGCAATCCTTACAGCCCCAGGATTGCTTCAGTTTTTAATGGTGTTTATCTCAATCTCACCATCCTTGGAAAGCATGCTGCAAAGTACTTATATTAGTCCTTAAATAAAAAAACCCAAATACTGAACTGCACTTTTAACTTGCCAAGACCACACAGTCTGTGCCATATTCAAAATACTGCACAGCAAGGTACAGTGCAAGATCATGCCAGTTATCAGAACCATCTGAGCTCCCAAAATTTTGTGAAGAGATTTACCTTGTACAGTGTGGCACCCAAAGAGCATCAAGTGCAAGGAAGCCATTCTGGAGTGGTTACAGACACATGGAGATTGGTGTGTTAAACACTGGCCCCTGGAGCCATCCAGGCAACAATGAGCCTAATCAACTTGCCAGTTTCTCTTTCCTCTTTGCCACAGTTGCCAACACAATCTGAGTGGGCACTCACAAATGCAGCTTTGTTACTGGAGGGCCCAAACTCCTCATCACTTTGCAGCTCACTGGTATTTCTGTATTTCTCTGTTCTTGATGGGACCAACGGACTGGCCTCCAGACTTTCCTCATGTTCCCTCTCACTGTGACCTGCACCATGCCTGGGGCAGTGGTAAACCTTTGTCTAATGTGAACATTTCATATGCTGCAAGAGCAAATGCTGCATCAGCTGAAGCACTGAAGGAAGCAAAGTCCTAACATCCCCTTAGCTCCTCCCTGGGTAAACTGGTCTCCAAAAGGGTGTTCTATCAAAGGCACTGCTCTTGTGTCAAAGTCTGGCCATGTTTTAGGTTGTGTGCAATACTGGGCACATGAGTGCTTGAGCTCAGTACACACAGTTGGGCTGAAGTGGGGTCACTGACCTGCTCCAGGCCAGCAAGGTGAACCAGTGCCCTCAGGGCCCCAACATATGCAGAGGTGTGGAACAAAAGGCATCATCAAATACAGCAGGTCTGACCAAAAGGATTTTTCTACTCCCAAAACATCCCCATTCTAGTGTCTGCATCTTGCCTTCTGTGATCAGTGCTGCCTTCGATTTGATCAGGACCACTTTATCCCACAGGTCCCCAGCCAAACCATCCAGCAGCATCGGCAGGAGAATCCATGTGGGATAACTGGGCAAGTACTGCTGGCACAGACCAGCTTCGCACAGCACTCAGATCCCTAAATAGAAATATGAATAAAAATAGTCCAATTTGGACATCAAAACCCCAAAATGAGGTAGGAATGTATTTAAATCAAGAGGTAGTTTCTAAAATGAAGAGTGATTCCTAATTATTTGCCACTGTTCATGAGGTTGTACTGAGATGCTACTTCACCTCATCATTTTCAACCCTCTGAAATGCTACACAAAAATGTCACGAGTAACTGACATTTTGAGAACCAATCTTTCCATTTGTTCAGTTTAAAAGAATCTTAATTTTTCTTCTAGGCTACAGATACTGATCGAGAGTGCTACGTAATCTTTGGATTCATTTGTCCAACAATCATCTAATTAATTAATCATTGATAATTAAAATGACCTCCTTTTGACTGATACCTGATCCCAGAAAGGTTCAAAAGAAACTTAACACATGTTGTGTCGTGTTCCAGCATAACCCACTACAGGTGTGTTATCATGTTATGCCACATCTGGTTTCCAGAGAACAAAATGAACCGAGGAACAAATTAAAGGAGGAACCAGTTGTACTTGTATCAGATCTAACCAGTTCAAATGTCTGGCAATTACAGGAGCAGGTGAACTTGTAGAACCATCAGTAACCCCAGAAATGGCATTATTTTTGGATACGTCCAAGCAGGGGTATCTGATAGCACCATATTATCTGTGCAATCACTGCTGTACTTAGGGGCTACAAGAACTCTGTTAAGAGAAAATCTAACTAAAATCTCACCTAAACTGACAAGAAGGAAAAGTATTCCTCATGTTTGAATCTGCGATGTGCAAACTATGAGTGAAATGAATGAACTGGCCATCCAACACCTCCCTGATTTTCTTTAGAAGCTCCGTACCTTACATGGGATCTGCAGACTGATCCACACCTCTTCTGCTCTACTTCCTGGTCACTGTGTGATGAGGGAAAAAGGTTCAGGCTCCCAGCTGCCTCAGATAAAATATCACCATGAAAATTTCAGTTCTCCAGCCACACTAAGTACTGCTGTTCAGAGAAAGCTACTGCCCCCATCCCATGGGCAATCTGAACCTCAGACAGAAAAAACAATATTCTTCAAAGGTGCAGGGTATTCAGCTCTCGTTTGCCTTTTCTAGGTGTTTCCTCTCTCAGTAGCATCCACCAATGCACAGCCCTGACTTCACTCTTAAAATTAATTAAAATGCAGAAATAGCATTTACGTTTCTCTTCAGGGACATTTTGCCTATTTGAGGAGGAAAAGCATTTTGTGGGAACAGTAGTGTCAGCTATGGAGCTGGAGTCCTGCCCTCCTTACAGTAGCACAGTTGAGGGACATTTTCATTGAATAAGTTGACTGGGGAAAACAGAAGTAAACATTTACCTTTATTTTATGCTGAAGCTAAGTAGGTGCTTTTTTAAAAAAAAAAAAACACAACAAACCAAAACAATAGAGAACCAAGGGGTTTAGGGGCAGAAAATCTATGGAACTGTAATAAGTGGTGGGTCTCCTCCCAAAGGGATATTGGTTTTCAGTATATAATTAATAACAAGAAAACTGTATCCTGACTTTGGGGTCTGCATCAGCATCCTGGAACAAAAAGGGCCATAAATTAGCATCAATTATGTATTAAAGTTCCAATTAACCTGGCTGACACTGATATACTTTAACAAGGTACGCTTAGACAAAAGAAGCAACTCTCTAATTACTTGGAACAGGACCTCATGACCCATTCTGCTCTTTTATCCCAATGCCAACCTAATGAGGAAGGAAGTGAGAGATAGGAAACTGTGCATAAGGCAAGGCTGTAGCACCTCAAGATGCCCCTTGGAAAATGCTTTTACCTTCATAAAACTGCCAGTGATAAATACCTTTTTGTTCTCAGTGACTTTTAACTGTTTTTGGAAGAAGTGTTTTTAAGGCTGAAATTGCTCATGTTCATTTTAATGTGGAAATCTGCCATCTAATGAAGGTCCTGGTCACCTGTTCCTGCCCTGTGACACACCACATACACAGTATTTGTGATGATGGCACCCAGGGTTCCTTACATAGATTGAAAGGATGCTCCTTGAAGTATCTTAGGCAAGAGAGACAATCACAATTAGTCTTCCACTGTAACCAGAACAGTTGGGTTAAGTATATTTTTCAGCACTGAAAGGACCTTTTCAGCACTTGTGCAAAGACTGAGAACAGAAGGTAGACCTGTGTAAAACCTGTGCTGCCTGTAGGGAGAGCAACATCAAGGGGAGGACTGAGGACAGAGTCAGGAAGGTACATATGGAATATCTAAAAAGGCACATAACTTTTCTTCCTTTTTATGTTTGCTGAAATCAGATAACCTTGGATACCACAACCAGGGGCATCTCCTCTCCCTTAAAAAACAACAGGTAATTGTAGAGAGTGTACAGCCAGGCAGTCTGCTCTTGTTCAGTTCTGTTCAGCGCTCAACTCTTCTACCCCAGATTGACCAACCAGACTTTGAACATATGCAGTTATACAAAGGGCAAAGAGGACTGTTTTTTTCTGGTGGTGTGGTTTTTAAAATCACTTAAACGTGTTGTACTTTACTGTCAAATAATAGTTCTCTAGAGCAAGGCAGTTCCTGTAATGAGAACTGCAGAAGAACTAACTTGTCCTTGAAGAACAATCCTTTCTCAGTGCTAATTCTTTCTCTGTGTCATGTTTTCAGCACTGTAAATAGTTTTAAATTAATGATGATGCTGACCCCTTTTTCATGGTTTTCCAGTGCAATACAGTTGGAGTCTTGGCTTTCACAGTTGATCTCCCACTAGCCACACAAGTCTGACTTCTGTCCTTTTGGAGAAAAGGTGTTGGTGGAATCCATCAGAGGCACCTCTTAATTATAGTCACGGTCTTCAAAAGTCAGAGGAAAGTAAACTCATCACTGGGAGTTCAGCTGGATGACTCCTGCAGCGAGTGCTTTCCTGGGTCCTTGCAGTCAAAGGTTATCTTTCACATAAGCCATGTCAAAATTAAACACATGCTCTTCCCTAGATGGAATTTCTCTGAAGAGGGAAGGAGATTTTCTGTAGTACTGCCAAAACACACAGTGCTGGAAGAGAAGCTCAGCAGCTCAAGGCCTGGAATTGTGACTCCTTTTCCAAGACAGAGCTAATGTGCTCCATTAGCAAAAGCAGTCAGGAGACAATTGCCCAAATTACAGCTTCTATAGTAAGATTTTCAGGATTCCTTTGCTTTAGTTGGGAATTTTGTCTTTACCATTTCCCCATATCTTTGAGCCATTCTTCCAAAGCCAGCTGAGAATGAAGACAGAAATGTAAAAGAAATGCTTTAGTCGCTAAAAGGGTCAGAGTCAGGTCACCTTCAAGATTTGAACAGTTCATCGATGTCCCAAGCTAAGGCTGCCACATGCATTATTCTCCTCCCCTGTATTTTCTGCAGGAATATGTCTGGATCATTCAAGTAGTTTGTGAAGATTGAAAAAGAAACTATACAATCAATTTTGGCCTTTTGTGACATCGCCGGTGACTTCAGTAAGCCCTGGTGGAAAAAGACATATCCATAGTTCATACGTGATGCATACCCCTTGATCCATCTCCATTTAAACCAAGGTCTAGTTTAAACATCTGTGGGAATTGAATCAGACCGACAGACTATTATATGTGCACCATAGGGGACTCGCTTATAAGTCTCTTGTGGCAAACATGCTACTTATACAGTATCCCATTCAGATAAGTGACCTACTTATTGGTTGCATGTTGTAAGCTATTTTGATGAGAGCAATGTGATCCTTGCTGTTCTGCTTTGAGTAAACTTTAGCCTTTGGGTATAAGAGGAATATTTGACATCCATGTAATAGAGGACAGCCATATACATTCAGAGTGGGATTTTCAAAACCATTCACAACTGCAGAAAGGAGGAAGAATAAATTCACAAAGCCTTGATTCTCACAAGAACACAGTCACTTAGTAAATATCTAGGTGGCTTTATTCTCTATCACACTGGAATGGGCCTAGTTTTTTGGGGGAAATAGGACAATTGTTTGGTATTGCTTGGCTGCAGGTGCACAGGAACATTAAGGAGAACTTCCATCTCTATTTCTACCATTTGAAAGGAAAAAGTCCGATTTTAGTAGAATATCACTTATGTGAAAAGAAGGTAAATGACAGGACTTCAACTTTTTTTTTTTGCAGTTTATGCTATTGATTAAATAAATCCATCATCTTTCTCTGCAAGACTTTGCTGAGAAGTGAACAGATGTAAAATCCACCACAGCATACCCAAAGAAAAACACCCTCCTAAAATGACAGAGAGAAGGGAAAAAAAAAAGTGTTCTCCTTGAGATCTTATCTCTTTCTCTTGCAGCTTTAGCCCTCCATCATTTTATTCAAAGCAAAGTATCATCAGGCCCCAGTAAGAGCTATCCTTATCAGCCAGGGCTGCCGTGGCACACGTGGCCCTGCCTGGTGTAAATACACACACACCCTGGTTCCCAGTTCAGATGACTCCGTCCACTGGTGAGTAGCATGTGAAAGCCCTTCAGAGCTCTTCACTGAGCCCAGGGTGACAGTTTGCTCAATCTTTTGTAACTCCTCTGACCCTGCCTCGTTCAAAGGAAAGCTTTTTTTTTTTTTTCCTTTCCTAATTCCTCCCACTCCCTCTTTTAGAGGAATGAGAGGAAAATTTAAGTGCCCTGCTTTGACACTCAGCTTGCTGCTTGCGTGCAGTCAGGCCAGCTGCCTCCCCAGATCTCCACTGCATTGTCAATACATTCCTCTTGTGCCAAGACAAAATTTATAAATAGATTTGCCCAGTCAGTAAGCCCTTTCTCTTTAGAAAGACAGGGATTCAGGCAAAAAGAGGATTATTGATAACATGCAACATCTTTATTATAGCAGAGACTGCTACTGCTACTATAGTTAAGGACCTGTCAGCATTTCAATTGTAAGATTTTTTTTTTTTTTTGTGCAAGGGTTTAACTTGGCAGTAAAAATTTAAATATACTTGAGGCTGGACTTTTTCTTGCAAGAATTCAGCAGGAGTGTAGGCACAGGGCTCTTTCCTCTTCCTCTTCTTAATTAAGAGTGAATTCAATGAGTTTTAGAGTTTCTTATATGAATATACATCTCCTGTTTTCTGAGCAGTGATGGGTAACACCTGATCCACCATTAGGTAGTACAGAGCAGAGAGAAGGGCACAGGGCAAAGAGAAGGCCAAATCCTGCTCCCATTAGTAATGGTGCTTGAATAACATTTGGCCATTACAGGAACACATAATTTTGGCCAACTTCCCATATTTTCCTCTACCAAAAAAAACCCAACCCAGCTGAGGGAGATGCTAAAAAAAGTCCTTTCAAAATCATCTCATTTAGGTAGTTTATTTTCCTTGCAATGCATGCTGGTAGGACAGCACAATCTGCCAATTGATGAATGTGTCTTGGGAGTCACCAGCCCCACCTCCTTCCCCTTGTAGTCTGTGCCTCTCTTCAGCCTCTGGCAAATTGCTTAATTTCTGCTCTGTCTCAACTTCAGGATTCAGGATGGAAAACAGTAAAACTCAGGCAAATGGTTTTGCACACAGAATTCATTCTGCTGCAGCTCAAGCACTTTCTGTCAGGAAATAATCCCGCTCCCTCTGACTTCAGCAGTGATTAGCCCAAGTGTAAAGCCAGGGCTTGTTATTGCAGAGTTGCTGGCACCCGTAGACTTGTGTAACTTCAAGGAGTCTCAGTATTCTTGAAGACAGGACTGCTAAAATATTGCAGTGGAGCACACATGAGTTTCATCAAAATAAGGCCATCTTTCCTTTCAACCATGCCCACACACTTATGGAAGTAAATAGCAATGTGTCCTCTCATCAATTTTCTCCTCTTCTTCAGGTTTAAAAAAAGAAGAAAGTATTCATGCATTTCATGGTTTTCACATTTTTTTTAGGGGGGAGGTCGGTGAGGGGGAAAAGAAGGGTACCTTGATATTCAGCCACTGAGCTTTGCTAAGATTTATGAAAAAGGAGAGTAAATTGAGGATTGGGGGTCTGCACAGAGGAGTGGTAGATGTATTCTCCTCTGCCATGCTTCTCAGTGGGATGCTGTATGTCTTTTTCAGACAACCAACACAGCAGAACATTTTGCTTTCAGGATCTGAATAACTTTGCTCTCTCAGCCTGAAGTTAAACCCTTAATGTGAGGAGAACATGGGCCTTCAAGTCCCGTATAAGTGACAGAAAGTCCTTTACACACATGGCACAAAGCATTCTTTCGCTTGTTTCTCTCAACATTTGTATTTCTGGTCAACTGAGTAGTATCTTTTGTGTGCTCATTCCTACAAAAGAATAATACTTGTCTGTTTTGTCTGTTGACAAGATCTTCAAATCCTACTGCTCCTCTGTCACATTAAAACAGTACATTTCTGTCTAGTTTTATTTTTATGATATGAGGATTTAGCTAAGACTTTGACACCATGGAAACAAGACACAGGACATGATCCTGTTCTATCTAAATATATCCCCTGACTTTCAATCACACTTACCTCTTTTATATTTCATGAAAACTGCTCTTTACCTCCCTCCATCTATGCAACTCTTTTGGCCAGCAGGATCACCTTGGGCCCATCCCTTAGCTTTCATTACCACTTCAAGGAGAATTGCATGCACTGAGTGGAGGGGAGGCAGTGCAAGAAAACAGGCCCTTAAGAAACTGGATGTAGCATATCACTGGGGTAATTCTCAAAGAAATCTAATGTTAAATGGAAAGCAACTTCCAATTCTTCGATGTGCCAAATGAAAATTTAATTAAGCAAAGCAGATCAGCTTTTTCCTTGTACTGTAAAAAGAAAGGACTGTTCATTTCTCAATCCATCATTTCCACTACAGATCTTTGGCATTTTTTACTACTGTTTTTGGGCATTAGTTCATATGGCTTGTTATAGCTTGCAATCATAACACATTTGCACTTCTTGTCTACAGGACTTCAACATTACTGCTATTTTTTTTTTTAAGCCACCAAAATATCCCTTTGTTGTAGTTCACACAGATCCTGCTTGAGTAAAGGAGGTGGGAGGGACAATTCTGAAATGCAATTTGATGAAAACAAGTTTCTCATTTCAGTGTGGATTCAGGTACCTGCACTTCTGGAGACAAAAAAGCTATCTATACCTGCCTTTTAAAATCAGCTTCCTGGGCTGATAGGGATTTTCCTACCACTGGGAAAACAGAACACAATATTGAGGCCAGAGTCAGGAAATAATGTAGTTATCACGTAGTATGAGCAAGTGTGGGCTCACACAGTCCTCAGCATTCTACCAGACGCAGCGAAAAGCCCTAGGAAGGCCCAAAAAATTCCCCTCCAAAAAAATTTCAGTATTTTCCCCGCCATGGGCTGACTGGCTACTTTTAAATGGCTTGCTTTAAGTGCCAATATGTGTTATTCTGCCCACACAAGACAACTGAGCTAAAGCTGGACGAAGCAGGTGAGACACGCAGAAGGGATTGGAACAAATGTCCTGAATTTTTCAACCTCTCTGTTTTGCCAGTGACCCATACAGTGAGGAGCTGTGTCAGCTAATCACTTGGCTAGTCGCTGCTGACAGACAAATACCTTGTGGTGACATCTGATGGAGCTGTTACAAAGCACCAACCTTTCGGGGGCTCGCACACTTTGAGCTGCAGGTTATGCACAGGGGCACAGCACAGCCCCAACAAGTGCTCAACAACACACATGCAAACCCAGAAGAGTTCAGATGAATTTCTTAAAGAGAAGGCACTTGTGTTTACTTGGGCATTTTTATTTTAAACCATCGATGATAATTAACTGATTAATAATATCACAGTCATCAAAAGTGATAGCATGTTTTCAAGGAGCATGCAACAATAGCTTGCTGCTTTTGTGGCTTTAATTGTAAAAGCAAATAATTACATCCTTTTAAAGGCTTGAAGAGAATTGCTTTCAACTGTAAACAGAAACTAGGAAAGAAAATTCTCCAGCAAAATACCCATTTTTAAATGGCCACTGTTCCCTAAAAAACCTTGTAACAGCTGTATTTCAGGTGCATATTCAGGGACTAATTACTGATATGGATGATACCCAGACAATCAGATGAGGCTCTGCTCATCATCAGGGTGTCTTGACCATGGATTGATTTGGGCACCCCCCCCTTTTTTTTTTTTTTTAAATCCTTACAGGGCTCCACATGCAATGCTGACCACACTGGGAGGAATGCAGATGACCTCAGGACTGAGTTAGTTCCTCTATCAGTACTTTACAAACCACTGCAATGGCTGGTTCATTTTTCTTCTTTCCAGTTCTCCTCCCAGCATCTGACAAATCTCATAGTCTTTGTGCACAGTGAAAGAGGGACTTATTGCAAGTTCTGGATGCAAAGCATAGAGGAAGGCAAATTGGGAATGCAGCTCTGTTTGTCTCATCAATCTTATATTCTGATGGGTTCTGGTGCCTGGGAATGATCTCTGTATAAACTGCCCAAACAAAACACAGGTTTATTTGTTCAGTGGTCCTTCGTGACCTAATTACTAATACCTTCCAA